AAATTTAATAAGCAAGCCGTAGCTTCTTCAGCTTCCCTAGATTGTACCCTAATATGAAAAATATATTTATACATTCTATCTAGCGTCGATGTCATATCGATAGTACCTATCTAGAAATAAAAGTTTCTAATCAATTAAAAAAATATACAGTATATAATAACTTTTGCCTGCACGTGATGCAGAAATTATTGGCCGGATGGGTGAAATCTTTATAAAGGCTTGTCTGGTAATGAAACTTTGCATTCACGAATAGCATCTTCAATCATCTTTTACAAGATAAAACAATACCGCATACGAATCTTTTTATAAAAAATAATAAAAAACTAGAAAAACGGTGATGTTTTGTGGGCTGGAACCCTAGTTACTAGGTCTTAGACTTTGAATTAAATTTAAAATAGTATAGTATTTAAATTTTATAAATTGCTATAAGATTACATCTATATTAAATTTATTATAGCGGCAATTTTGTTTTATTATTATTGTTGCATATATATATTTGCCATAATATTTGTAATCTGTCAAAAGAAAAAGAACCATTAAAAAGGACGTCAGCAAATGTGCAAATCCTTGATACATCTACAAATATAATATTAGTTGCGAATTCTTTATTATAAGATTTATTGCAATGTCAAAACTTATAAATTGCAGTTGCCCAAGTAAGACATAAAAGAAATTGCATGCGAGAGCAAATTCTTTATTTTTCTTCCCAAGTGCAATTTATTTAATAGATTTAATCAGTTATGATCCGTATAATTATTCATTTTGATCAGAATTGCATAGATAATTAGGGTAGCATTTATTAGAAGTTAGTTAATATACAGTTAAAGTTAGTTAACATATTTAAATCAAAATTTCGATATTCAAAAATTGAGCCTAATTTTGATTCAATTTCTGAATATTGAACCTCCAGCAAAAAAGTATCCCATCATACATAACTTTTTTATGTCTTATTTCTATTAAACATGTATCCATTTAACTTAGGCGATTTAATCTTAAATATAAAAAAACATCACATAAAATAAAGGTTTCACTCTAAATAAGTATATGAAAATATTACATCCTGTATAGTTAGTATTAAAGATGCTTGATGAAATTATTTTTGAATTGATGAAAGGTATCATCAAATTACACACCTGATGAAAATATTGACGATTGATGAAACTGTTGATGATTGATGAAACTGTTGATGAATGATGAAATTATTGACAAAATTACTTTATTACATAAAAATAAAAATATATCTATAAAAAAATATTTAGCTTTATTTATTTTTTTTAGACTCTTACAACATATTTTTCTAAGTGCTATAGGTAAAAATTCATTCTCTATATTTGAATTCTCGCTAATATTTATATTTGAATTCTCACTAATATCTATATTTGAATTCTCACTAATATCTTCATCTACATACTCCATTGCATTACTATTATAATCTTGATATTCCTCATTTTCAATATCAGATTCATTATCTTGAAATATCTCAACATTTAAACATATTACATTTTCAATATCAAAGCGTTCAATAATTTTCAAGTTACATTTGGTCTCTTCTTCTTCAGGATCCTCTATAGTATCAACTAAAAAAGTTGCTGTTGTTACTTGTTCTTGCAAATTATTTGAAGATAATGTTTGGCCAAAAAAAGCTAGTTCTTTCTTTATATTTGAAAAATAAAAAGATTGAATTTGTACTATAGCTTGAATTCAGGATAAAGAAAGTCAATATTGATATTTTCTATACATTTAATCTAGTGACAAAAATGTCCTTTCACAATCAGCAGAATGTGATATAATTGAAAAAATTTTAATGGCAAGTTGCCTAATAGATTTGGAACCAGTATAATTAGTTGTCTACCACAACATGGGTGTATTATTTTCAAAACTATAGAGCAAGTCAGATTCATCTTTTTTTTTGAAACAATTGCATATAAGCAACAAGATTTGTACACTCATATTGGTCATATTCTTTATATTTCTATGTCTAGATTGCAATTTTAGCAATTTCTTGAAATTGTTTTTTTACGTAATCTGGTGCCTAACAAAAAAATGATTCATATTAACTAATATATATATAATTTATTAAAATTTTTATAGTCAACATACCACAATAACCAGGGTAGAGAAAATATGCTAACATATAAATATCGGTATTAAAATTATTTCATTGCTTGTTAAAAATATGTATAAATATTTTTAAATTCCTTAATTCGAAGATTTAAGATTTTTTTAATTGTAGCTATTAAACAAACAAATTGTATAAAATAATCTGCTAATGTTATCAATCATGTCTCCAAGTTCATAATTGCAGTCTGAATTAGAGATAAAATTTTAACTAATATTTTAAGGTCTGTAAAAAATAATGTTGCTTTAATAT